AGATTACGACGCACTCATCTGTTTATGTCATACTGACTGACAGTAATTGGATTTTCTCTTCTCCAGCAGACCTCCAAAGGGCATTTATTTCTTTTATTAAAGGTACAGTGTTCTGCACTAATATAAGGCCTCTCTGAAAGCCTAGAAACACCCCTTTTTATAAAGTTTAAAAATTCAGCAGCGGAATTATTCGCGCTTGAAGCGAACTTATTTATGCGAATTCGGCGAATCTAAGCCCGAAACCCAGAACTTTTTGAATAATTCGCCTTCATTTCTCTAGTCCTGACACAAAAAACCTCAAATCACATCAACCACAGATTGAACCCTATATATTTGAATCCTCTTGTTTTGCCTTAAGTGTGTGTTCTCTAGAAGAATACTGCCCTCTCCTGTGTCCTTCAACCTGAAAAACTGGATCCGCCAATAGATAGAGTTCCTATTCCTTTTCCCCTTCCTAATTACCTATTTCCGCCTTCCTTTTCCCTTTTCTTTCCTTAGGTCGCCCTTCATTTCCCCTTCTTCGCTTTACCTCTTCTTTCTTTTTCCCTTTCCTTTCCCCTTTCCTTTTCCTTTTTCCCTTATCCTTTTTTCCCCCTTTTTCCTTTGATCACATGAATCGGAGACTCACACTACAAGGACCCAGTTACAGCGACTCGGTGTTCCGTATTGTTGTACGGAGGCTCCCAGTCCAAAAGGGGCGGGCGCCAATTAATGAATGGCAACCAACTACTGCAATACTGCCCCCGCCTGGCCATTTATAATATTATAATTAAAAATAATATATAATTTTAATTTTTATTATTATAATTTTATGAATATCATTATTTTTAATTTACAACATGATGAACTAAAGCTTTTTATATTTACATAAATATAAAAAATACATAGCCATCATAACTGAAATAATTTATTTTATATTTATTTAATATTTATATATTACACATTTCTCGGGCGGAATGGGAAAGTGGCATGCACCGGACGAATTTTTGTTATAAGAATAAATAAAATCCCTTTTATGGAGAACGTTCGTTTGGTTTGTAAAATGGTTCAAGGAGGACAAATAGAAGATTAAATTTTTGATTTGCAATGGATGGAGAAAAATCTTCAAAGGATCGGGTTGGGATTTTTTTCTCTTGATTCTTATACAGTTTTACCAAGGTTCTAACCGTTTGACCTAATATGTGGTCCGGTTTTGTATTGTATACGAACACCGTTCATTAAAAAATAAAACGTTTACGTGTTATTCATAGATTGGCTTGGCAAAAATTAAGAGCTCTTCTGGAATGTAATTCGATGACTCCACGAAGGCTATGACAACCAATTTTATTCAGGAAGGGTTTGAATGAAAATCCAAACCACATATGGGCCAGCTTAAGGGCCTCGATCACAACACCAGCCTCTATGTGGTATGCATTTGAGCAAGCTCAGGTCAAAGCCGTCCCTACACAATATACAAGGCAAGTCATAGGCACTTATGATCCTATTATTTCAATAGGGTTTGAGCTAATTAAAAAAAAGGGACATGTTACATTTTTTGCGCAACGCACTATGATGCTCCTATAATTTAAACATTTAAAACCACACTAGCACAAAGAGTTTAAAACCCATTTTAAAATTAAAAAAAACTTAAGCCGTTAAAAAAAAAGAAAAGAAAAGCCCAGTGGTGTTTTATTTTGGGTCACGCTAATTATGCGCACATTAACGCAAGGTCCCGCTGACGTACATTGAGCCTTTTATTATTGAGCCTATAATTATATTTTAATTAAATAAAAAAAATTAAAGTAATAAAAAAAAAAAGTGCATGTAAACAGATCTCTCTCGCGCGCGCTCATTTGTTTATTTTTTAAAATGTTAGATAAATTAAAGATGAATTGTAAAAAAAATAGTGTGCATTATTTCTTGGCAATTTGTAATTTTTTTTTAAAAAAAGGAGGAATATAATTTTTCACTGGAAAGTTAAAAAAAAAATACAAAATATATACAAAAGACCATTTTTCTCAGAATCCTCCTCACCTCCCCGGTAAGCAGTTAGTATGATCTCCAGGGTGGAGCCGTAATATCCTCCTCCGTACAGGTAGGTGCAGTTTGCCTCCATTGCTTCGCAAAATCTCTTCTATTCACTTCCAGAAACGAATATTCGTCCCATTCCCCTCAATGATGATACAGCATCATGGGTAGACTGGATAGGATCTTCTGTGATTGGGTCGTGCTCAAACATTTGTTATTGTAGCCCAGTGGGATCCATCTGCCTTTCTGGGCTACAACAAAATGGCAGAGGCTATCCACTCACCAAATAGTGGTGTATTTTAACTCCTGATTATCTGAGTTTTGGGGGATGGCTTGCAGGAGTGAGGTGCAATTGAGTGCAAGCTATGGAGCCAAACTGCAATGCAACCGGACAGAGAAGGATATTACTGCTCACCCTGGAGATCCATCTACCTGCTGAACCAGGAGACCGTAGAGGGGTTGATTTTGGGAGCACTGCAAACTACATTTTATTTATATTTTTTATCGCTGAATATCTACCTATAAAAAAATAACTTTTCCACACTTTTAATTTCAAAGATGACTTCAGCAGGAAAATTGGCTCAGTACAAATTTTTCTCATTTTCTAGTGTTTATTACCTGTTACCTTTTAAATATAGTTACATTTTGTTTTTATTTTTCTTAATTTTGATACATTATTTTAATTTTTTTTTACATTTGTATCTGGTCACATTTTATTACTGTTACAGATTTTTCTTACATTTTTATTATTGTTACTTTTAATCTTAATTTTTGTATTATTATTACATTTTGTATCCATTTTTTTTTATATTATTACATTACTTTGTTACATATTTTTTAGTTTTTTGTTACATTTTGTTTTTTTTTTGTGTAAATGTTTAATGAGTTATCAAAGAACTTTTATTTTTCTAGGCCCACAAATACATACATTGTTTGGATATTATTGTTAAAATGGACAATTGGGCCCAAGAAAGATTACATTTGTACAGAATGGGTGCGCTTTTGTACTGGCCAAAGTGGGACATTTTTAAATACAAGGTTGCCGGCGATTGTTTACTATTTGTAGAGAGATCATTTTGAATTATATGACAAGTGATATTCATGCATGCAAGTTTTAATTTAAAAAAAAAAGAAACAGGTTAAAAAAAAAAATAATAATCATATAAATATATATATATATTATATTATATATATATAATTATTATGATAATACAGTGATTTATAAAGTGCCAACAGTTTGCTCAGAGCTTTAATACAATATACACGGGAGACAATACAGCAACAATACAGATTTCAATTACCAGAGGTTAGGAAGCAGGGGCGGACTGACAAACTCATGGGGCCCCCGGGCAATAGGGGATCATGGGGCCCCTGTTGTCCTTGCCCACATTCAAAAAAAGCCATATAAAAGGTACCATGTGGTATTTCATGGTGTGCCCCCTACTGACCCAGGGCCCTCGGGCAGTGCAAACCGAATCGCTTCGCATGGCGTCAGCTCTGCCATCTGGTTAGAGCAGGCGCACCCCTGCATCATTTGGAGCTTTACAATCTACACACCACCACCAAATGGAAACTTTTTGTATGAAGGGAGACTCCTTCTAAGCCCCTACCCCAGATTTTAGGCACCTCCCCACGAAGGGCACGCGGTAGTTAAGCCGACATCACCATAAGTCCTCAAAATACCACCTTTTTACCAATGCCCGCACTCCCACACAAGATATACTACTCACCACGCCCCGGCCCATAATCGACCCCACCCACTACTAACCCCCGCTACACCAAATGAGCCCACTCAGTGCCCAGTCCATGGCTAACATCAGGATCTTTTCCCCAAGCTTGACAGGTTCCCTCCAGATGACAAACCCACCACACCCCTGGAAGTAGAACCCCCAACTAGGCCTTAAAATATTCAAGGACCAAAATGGGGGAGGCCATCTATGAGCAAACCTATCTTTGATTGGAAATGTATCTATAATAATTTCCTAATCCACATCCTACAGGATAACATCATTGTTCGCGAAAAAGACATCCAGGAGATGTAACCGGACCTCATCATTGGTTCCTCTATCCTCCTTACTGCTTCCAGGAGAGAAATGATGACAAAAACGAGTTTAGAAGCGCACCTCAAAGATAATTGAGCTTCTGACAGGAGAGCGTGAGCAGTGCTCGGGAATTCTGGGACATTTTCTCCGAGTAACACAGACACGGGGTGTTGTCTGGAATGGTGACTTGTATCATTGTGTGTGTCAGGTTCCTAAAAGGTCTCAGGAGTTCTCCATGGAGGAATGGAAGGTTAACACGGATGACCATAATTGGGTAGGTGACCACCACGGCTGTTACATTCAGCCATGTTAAGAGGAGACATTTATAGTAAAGTGAGAGAGCAGCATTACGGAGGGTCAACCCTAGGACTCCCCCATCATCTGATAAAAATAAAATAAAAAAATATAAAAAAAAAAACACACATTAGAAACAATGGATTCAGTCTGTGCGTCTTTTTTCTACAGATTGATTTCCAGTAATGGGAACCCACCAGAGAGGAGGTCCCCGTTCCACTGTATTTCCCGGGAATCCACACAGGAAGGTCACCACCATCCCCCAACCATCTTCAAGTTTTGAAGATATACAAATCATTGGTAGTTACATTAAACTCTGCACAGTAATGGCATTTTTACTATTATATTTAATTTCAGAGTAGAAATCGATGAGACAACATTCCTAATTAAGAAGAGGTCAAAGAAGGGAAAGACGATGGTGGTATCGAAGAGGAGTATCAGTAATTTAGGAAGGACATCACGGATGTCAGGAGGGAGATATATAAGCCGCCCCTTCATGCCACATGGTAAGAGATGACCAAACTTGTAAAAGAAAGCAGTAGCGGAGGGTTTCACAACCTAGATCCCCCATCATCTGCTATACACACATAGAAACAATGCGCTTCAGGTCAGTGTGCTGTGTTTCCCTTACAAGATGGATCCAGTCATGGGAACCCACCAAGAGATGTCCCCGTCCCTCTGTATTCCCAGGATTCCACACAGGAAGGTCCACACCATCCCTCCACCATCATCAGGCAGAATGGATCCAGTAATGGGAACCCACTAGAGATAATTCCCAAGTCTCTCTATGTTCTTCAGGATCCCACACACAGATGATCACACAATCCCTCACATGATTCAGGTAGAATATTGATAACAGTTATTGATAAGTTACATTATTGACCTGTACATTGGTATTCATTTTAACCTATTTTACATGGGACTGTTAGAGTGGGAAATTTTGCACAATAATTCCAAATTACAAAAAAGAAGATATTAAAGAGGAAGAAGAGGAGGAGGAGGGTGGTTACAGAGGGAGTATGGGACCTGTTGTAGAAGGACACAAGGAATCCTCTACAAGGGCCTCATGATGGACAATCCAGCGCCCTCACATCACTGGTAAGAGGAGACTTTTTTGTAATGGAGAGAGCAGTACGGAGTTTCCCAACCACTAAGATCACCCATCATCTTAGAAACCATAGAAACAATGGATTCAGTCAAGTAATGTGGATGTTTCCTACAGAAGGATCCAGTAATGGGAAACCCACCAGAGAGATGTCCCCCCGACCTCTGGTTTTCCTCCCGGGTTTCCACAGATCGCACCATCCCTCACTATAACCAGGTAGGTGGTTTGTGGAAAGATTCGAAACTCAAGCCTAGTTCAAAACTTTGAATCAATATTTTTTTCTCCTATGTCGTCTCAGAATAATAGTGCAGAAAATATTTTAGAGGTGAAGAAAGTGATGGGTATAAAAATTATGGTTAAAGAGGAAGAAGAGACGCATGTAATGGTGATCAGCTGAATATAGAAGAAAGATCAAATGATGGCGACCATTACCAGGGGGAAATTTCTTCTCTAGGTATTAAAACCACACAATTTAGCACTTAACATTTTCATTTTAATTCATTAAGTTTTGGATAGGCAGTTGGACCGTTATCTAACGTGCCCAACAAATAAGTGGAGGTATTGTACACCATGTCTTCATACAAATGTCCAGGCCTCACCGCATGTATATAATCATTGTATTTACCTCCCTCATGCTTTCCAGAAATATTCTGATGTACATCGCATAAAGGTCTGTTTCCATTCCTTATTCATTTTCCCCAACAAAGGAGGGGGAGATACTGTACATTACATGAAGGGTCCATCTGCACTCTCAATGTAATGTCAAATACCAAACAAACGAAGTGAAGGATTGTACACCATATGAAAGGTCCATCTCCGTTCCTGAATAAATAACGTCATTGGGTTTCCTCCCAAAACAGATGAGGAGGAGATACTGGACACCATATGAAAGGTCCATCTCCATTCCTCAATATAACGTCACGTTCCCAACAAATAAAGCCAATAGATGTCTATCTTTCTTTTTGTGATAACAATATCATCCGTTTTATTGATTCCCTGACCCAGTGTGCTATTTTTGGGTTTTGGGGCTGCATTGTGGTTTTTTTCCCAACAGGTGGAGACAATGGCTGGTTACCTCAAAAGGACATCTTATTTTATCTCCTGAAGAAAATTTGACATGGCCCAAAATTCTCCAGAAGTAAGCATTAGTACTCGAAATATACATCAGAAGACACAGTCAAGAAAGTGCTCTTTTCTTGTACGGAGTGTGGGAAAGGTTTCAATGGGAATCACGCTCTTCTAAACCCACCAGCGAACCCACACCAACGAGCGCCCCATTTTCTTGTCCGGATTTTTGGAAAAACGCTTCAAAGTTAAATTCTGTCTTGATCGACACGTGAAACTACATGAAAATACGATTCACTGTCCTGTTTAGAGTGTGGCAAGTCAATTTGAAAAGAAATACGACCACCTCGTCCATCAGAGGGAGCGCACCGCTGGCAGGAGGTCTTTCCTGCACGGAATGCAAAAAAACGTTCTTAAAAAAATATGACCTGGCTGACCACCTGAGAACCCACTTCAGGAGAAAAGCACCTAACTCATGTTCTGAGTGCATCAAGTCATTTCAAAAATAGACGAGACCCTCGTTCCACACCTAGAGGATCCACAACTCGGGGAAAAGCCCCTTCTCGAGTTGTTCTGAGTGGCCGGGAAAGTCTTTTACCCACAATCTCAACTCAAAATCGCACCAAGATAGTCCACACCGGTGAGGAAGCCCTTTTCCTGTTCATGAGTGCGGCAAATCGCCCTTTTTTCCCCATTAAAGGGACCCGTGATAGAAAACTATGAGGAATTCACACCGCGAGCGGAAAAACCGTTTTCCTGTTCAGAATGCGGCAAATGTTTTGCGCAGAAAGTGACGCTAACATCATCCCCCAGAGGACACACACCACATGAAAAATATCTGGTCCATTTTACCATTTCTTGGACTGAGGCAATAGTCCAATAAGTTAGTAGTTTGGAAGGGTCAGCTGACCAAAATGAATATTTTAGTTTTGGTGTTTTGGCTTGGTCTATATCTGGATCTACGTTACTAGAGAGTTTACTTTGATGCCATCTTTTATTATGTTCTAATTTTGCCTTTTTTTCTGACAAGGTATTGCTGTCCTGACCAGTGCCCACCTGCCCTGAATCTCAGTAATCCAATTCAGAGGCGTATCAGAAACTTCAAGGCCCTGGTGCAAGAATCCATGAAGGGCCCTCGGAGGTCCTTCCCTCCGAGACTGGCGACAGGACAGGGCCTTTTACTCCCAATAAAAGGTGAACTTTTTCACATGTTTCACAGTGGACCTTCCTTTCTGCCGTCTTGGGGCCCCCATGGGGAGGAACGCCAAGTGTGACCTTTGCAACCCTGGTAGTTCCACCATTGATCTGATTATTTGGGACCCAACCCTGTAATGCAGGAAGGAATTCTCAGGGGCAAACCCACTGCGGCTCTTGGCCGCCTCAAGCTGGGTAACACGGGAAATTATTTTTTTTTTTTGTTTAAAATGGGTCAAACAAAAAAAAAAACGGACAGATCCCTGCTCAACACAAGCAACGTTGAAGCGGGGGACCCCTTTTGACTGCACTGTTGTTTCGGAAAAAACGGGGACCACAAAACCAACAGACTCCCTACAGAAAGTCGATGTATTGAAGGGAAATTACTAAGGGACCATTCTCACTTACGCTTGCAGGTCTTTGGGGGGGCCTTTTATTGAAGGGCTCTCCTGCACCAAATCACAGCCACCATGACACATTCGGAAGCAGACCAACATTTTGGGGGAGCTCTTTGAAATCTCACCGCAGTGCATTACATCAAATAAAATTTTCCCTTTTTGCCCGTGCCCCCATCGGGGGATGGTCCCCAGCCAAACTGGGGGGAAAATCCAACAAGGGAAACCCCGGGGGCCCCCTTGGGAAAACCACTTTTTTCCCATTTCATAATAACGCCATAAAATAAAGTTTTCATTGGAGACCCCAAGTGGCCTTTGTTTCATATAATTGTTACCACTGATCACCATTTTGGGGTTCTTCATCCCAACTCTGTGAGGTCATATATTGGGACGTGGCCCTTTTAGAAGGATGTGTTTTCGACTGACATGGTTAAAAAAAAACCCGAGAACCCGAAAATCTAGTCTGTAGGCCTTTGGTTGTCAGGGGTACAGGGCTTACCAGGGGAAATAGCAACTGAAAAAGGTAACAGTGACAAAAAAAAGAAAATGCACAAAGGTGCGGCTACAGATGAGAAAAAATTGGAATTCAAAGGAAAATGGGGCTTTTTTTCCCAAAAATTTTTTTTTTTTTTAATACGTTGGAGTCAATGGAGAAGGCAAAAGTTTTAAAGGGTTTTCTCCGGTCACTTTCACTTTGAATAGTTTTTTGTGGGTAAGCAAGCACAGTGAGGTCACTAATTAAAAAAATCTGGAAGGTCTGAAGTTGGATTACTTTTTAATGGGGATTAAATTTTACTAGCTGAGCCCCCCACCAGCCTCTCCCGGGGAACCCCACCAGCCTGCTCCTGAGCCCTATCCATCCTCTCCTGGGGAAACCCCACCACCGCTCTGAACCCCATACCCCCTCTTGAGCCCCCACCAGCCTGCTCCTTTGCCCCACACCAGCCGCTCCTAGGTCCCCCTACCGCATTTTCCTGGGCCCCCCACCACCTCCCTGGGGTTACAACCAGCCCGCCCTGGGCCCCACCACAGCCTGCTCCTGGCCCCCCCAACAACCTTCTCCCGAACCCCCCCCAGCATCTCCCGGGCCCCACACAAGCCTGCTCCTGGGCTCCACACCCGGCGCTCCTGGACCCCACACAACCGCTCCTGAGCCCCCAAAAACCAAACCCCCTTTTCCGGCCCCATACCAGCATGCCCTAATCCACACCAGCATGCCCCCGGGCCCCACACCAGCCCGCTTCTGGGGCCTGCACAAGCCCCCCTCCTGGGCCCCACCCGTTCCCCCTGGGCCCCCCCCCCCGGGGCCCGACATCACCCCCCTGGGGGACCACACCTGCCGCTTCTGGGCCTGCACAAGCCCCTCCTGGGGGCCCCCCACCTCCTGCTCGACCCCACACCGTCCTGCTCGGCCCCACATCAAACCGCTCAAGGGCACCACACCCGCCTGCCCTATACGCCACACCAGCGTTTTCCCGAGCCCCACACCAACTGTTTATGCCCCCCACCAAACTGCTCCCATGCCCCCCCACCAGCATGCCCCCTGAGCCCCACACCGCCTGCTCCTATGGCCCCACCCCTGCTCCCGAGGGCCCCCCCCCAACCACCCTGCCCAACTCTACATTATTCTGGGGATGAGAGGCAAAGAGACAGTATGCAACATAGGTGTTCAGGATGGTTTTCCTTGCTCTAGCCTGCGGAGGAGACCCCTGTTGAGGAACCTTGTCCTCCTGGGCAGAGGTCTGGAGGAAACCCAGCCTGAAGACACAGAGATCCCAGCTAGGCTTAGATAGGGAGCTGACTTGCAAAGCCAGCTCAGGAATCTAGAGGTAAAAACCAGAGCTCACGGGATCCAGTGGGGAAGAAACCTGTGGGGAGAGAGCTGGTTTGTGAGCCTACTCTCTATCACCAGGAAGAGTCTGGAGAGAAAATCGGTCAAGAGGCAACCAATAATCTTGGTGGCTGAATGAATACAATTTCCCCTGAGCTGGAGTGGGGGTACTTTTGGACCTGATAAGGTACAGGTGGGGAGTCTATTGGATTGCTGGGAGAGTGCAGCCATTAGTTTTGCAATACAGCCAGGGTTGTGCAAGACCATCAATAGTTTTTGTAGAGCAACCAGACGTTTAGCAAGTCCTCAATTTTTAGTTCTGGGGTAACCCGGAACTATCCCTATCCAAGTTTACCGTCGCTCAGTAAAACCCAAAAAAAAGAAACCCTAAAAGGCATCTTGAGCCAGAGTAGGAATGCCTGAAAAAAAGCTGTCTGCCTGGATGTGTGCGCTCTAAAGGGGAAATATGCCCAAATCCACCTGGGAACTCTTTCAAAGGGGGGGGGGATATAAACATAATGTAGCTTA